AAAATACATTTCTTTTCATGATTAGATATACATTAATTATAAAGATAAGTTTAATTGTAATTGCTTTCAATATATTATTTAAATTGAATTGATAATAATTATTGTAATTAAATTATATCATTAATTGACATAAGATGGTAATATAATGAAATCCACGTATTTTAGGCATCTCTTTTGAATATGGTTTAAGGATAACCAATAATTGAAGTCACATTAGATGGAATAGAGACTCGTAAACACACAAGATTTGTTGACAAATAATTAGGAGTTTTAAAATTACCAGTTTACACTGTAATTACATTATTAATTCATTAGGGTGATGATGATATCTCAGGTGTAGTGGAAGTTAAGATGAATAAATAAAAAAAAATAGAACATCTAGGTATAAGAATTGAATTGGTGGGACGTATAGGTAAAAGTAAAATTCAATGATCAAGAAATTATTAATGATTAAAAACAGAGTTCAGATTTTATGTCTATGTCTAGAGAATTAGAACCTTAAGGAATCTTATTTGAAGACAAAGCATACAAATTTTAATTTTAGAAGTTTGAAAAGTAGAATGAGAGTTATTATGGCAATACTGTGAGATTAAGATATTACTTAAAGATTTACATGACTAGAAGTTATGGTAAAGTATAAAAGGAAGTGGATTTTGCTGTTTTAATTCCATAACCAGAAATAGAAGAATAACCTTAAACATCATTAAAATTAGAAGTAAATATCAATTATTAAATAGGTTGGTATTGAAGAATGTTTGCATATTGATTTTGAATATTTCAAGAGTAAATATCATTTAAGAGATGTCGTAACAGGAAAAGTTAATTTCTATTTAGTCAAAATCAAAATAAAATATATGGAATTATCAGTGATTAGAAAAGAATAATTTGGTCAAGGTCAATAATAATAAACAGATAATGAGACACTTGTAAAATATGAATTAATGGATGGTTGTCCTTAAAAAGGAGAAGTCATTCCAATTAGATTATATTTAAGTGGAGTTGATGTGACACCATCTGTTAAAAATGTTAATGGTAAATTTAGTGTCAAATACATTCTGAATTTGATTTTAGTAGATGAAGATGATAGAAGATATTTTAAATAATAAGAGATAACAATTTATAGAAAGAAATGATTTATTAATATCATTATAACACACATCTATATAAATCATTATTATTATTATTATTATTATTGATTATATTATACTCTATTTTAATATTGAACTATTTCACTTAATGATCTAATTCTATTTTCTTATTCTTTTATCTAATTACTCTAACCCTATATTATTTAATCTATTTTCTCTGATAATCCAATATATATCTATTCTGCTAATCCTAAAAGGAATCTCTATGCATCCTCAATATTATAAGGATAATAAAATTAATAGAAGTTTTAATTTTATAACAACTACTAATGATACTATTATTATTGCATCATTTAATATTAAACATTTTTGAATTCTTATTCATTTGATAAAATTGCTTCATTTGCATCTATAAATGAAGTATCTAATACTAATTCTTAAGACTATTCAGTAGGACTTTAAGAGAATCTATGATTATGACTTTGTGTTGTTGTAACTTAATCTTTGTTGTTTAAATAAAATTATTGTAAAAAATGATATTGTTTATTTATTTTTTACAATTTCTCTTAATATCTTAAATTAGAATTAATAAGTATTTAAATTTAATTCTAAATAAATCAGAAATAAAAATTACTTCGAAATTATCACAACGTCTTTCAAGTTCATTATTGGTAGTTTCAAGTGCTTTATTTAATGTCATTTCTCTTTAATAATTCTTTTTCAGTTCTTCTAATGCTTTATCATATTATTTCAATTTATCTAATAAGTTTCCATCAGTTGCCTTTCTCATATCTTATGCTTAATAACTTTATCTTTTTGCATTTAATTCTTATATTATTATTGCTTAGCTAAGATTGAGTTTAGGAATTTCTTTAGAATTTTTAAACTTTTAATTTTCCTATTATGGTTTAAAGTTTTCCTATTTAACTGGTAAAGGTGAAGCTAATGGAGAATTATCAACAGAAGACATATCTTCAGATTCAGATGAATATAAATTTTCATCTTTATTCATTGCATGAAGAATATTTTGTTGAACTAAAAAATATAATAAATATATGGTTACATTTAATTAATTGATGAGGTTATGGATCCATTTATTATTGTTATTATAAAATAACTTTATTTCCATTAGATGTTAAGGCTGCATTCTTTAATGAGATAAGATTAGTAATTAATTTCTAATATAAAAATAAAATTTACTAGATTTAAGCCTTGTAATTGTTTTTTTTCAGCTTCAATTTTTTTATTCTTTTTAATTTATAATATTAAGAGTTCATTTAATGTTTCAATCTTATCATGAAATTCTTTATTGATTTTGTTAATATCAGTAATTTATTTATATTTAATAAGTATACCAGACTATTCATCAAATTCAGGCTTTAAGAATTCCAATTTGCATAATTAAGATTCAGCTTTGCTTAAATTATTTTATAATGTTGTAATTTTGTTTTGAAGTGATACAATTAATTCTTTTTCATGTCTTTATGCTTCTTCAGTGATTTATTAATTGATTAATACTTAGTTTTATGCTTAATTTCTTTCAATTATAAGTTTCTCTATTTATGAGTTTAATTTAGCATTTTCTTCTTGAAGATTCTTGAGGACCATAAGCAATGCCTTATTTTACTCATCGTTATTTTAAGGAGTCATTATTTTTAAGGCTTTTTTGTTTAGTTGAAGGAGATTATTGAGCTCCTTGAGTTAATCATTCAATTGTTTGTTTTCTTATTTCAAATAATCAATAAGTTCTTAATGTGAATTGTTAGTAATGTATTAATAAGTATTGGTGGATTTCATAATAATAATTATATTAATGATAAAGACTTAATGTTGGATTAAGCAATAAAGTATATGTTTGAACAAAAGAATTTGTATTTATAAAATATATGTATAATTCATATTACTTCTGCCTCTACCACAAACATATTAAATATAGCCAAAAATACACTATATTTAGCAACTTTTTCTTTAGATATAATTTACAATCCCTCTTCTTTAAGCATGATTTCGAAATCCTTTTCATAAGTAATACTCCCAAAATCAATTGTTGTGATGTATTTTAAGTGTGGCTTAATTTTTTCAAGAATCACTGTTTTATAGTTTCTATAAGGTTCCAAAGTCAATAAAAAAAAGATGGAACCTCCTTTGCTCAATCTTTGTTTTGCAATTCTCAATGCTCGTATTCTATCGGGCATTATCATGAATGATGAAGAAAAAATCACAGCTTCATATTGTTCTTTTGAATTTTCTAAATCATAAAAGTTTTATTCTCTTATCTCAACATTCTCATTTTATTTGAATGTTTGTCTTGCATATCTAGGATTTTGAATAATTAATCATACCTCAAATAATTTGTATCTATGTCTATTCCTACAACACGAATTCTTGAAGGAATCCTATTTATTATCTGTTTCATGGGATGTCCTGTACCTACTCCAACATCTAAGATTCTTTTAACATTTGGCATCTTTTTCTCCAATCTATCGCACATCATTACGTAAGTCCATCTAAATATTTATTACTTATTATACTTTGTATAGAATCTACTGTACAATAAATTGTATATGTAGACAGGTAGGTAACTCAAAATGCTGATAAAAAATCCAATAATCTTTGCTAACATCTCTATTAAAATATATTATTAAGTTTAACAATTCACATGGACATTTAATTGTCAATTTTATTACATTTAGATAGTCATCAATGACACGTCATTTATATGCAAATATGTAATTAAATTAAGATTAATTTTGTTATTTATTTATTATTTATTTAATTAATAACTAAATATATAATTTTTTGCAGACTATCCATATTCATTAATGATTATCCATTTAAAATTCTATTAAAACAATCATATTTTAATTAAAATACTTTATTATCCTTCTTTCTTAAGGTTAACCTAAGTAATATAAACTTTTATTTATTAATAATTTTAATTAATAAATTTTACTCCTATGGCAATTTTTGAGGATAAAATATTTACTACCCAAGATTAATTTATAGACTATTCTATAAATATCAAAATTAAATAAGTTTTTATTCATATTATATTAAAAATTATTATATTACAAATTAATTATTCAATAAGATAACTAGTTTGTAAAAAAATTATTTAAATTTTCACTGTATAAAAGATGAAATAAAAATAAACTATCTTTAATAACTATATGTTAGAGTGAGTAAATAAAAACTATCGATTGAAATATCAATTGAATTGTTATCTATCAGTATGGCTTATTAAAGATTAAATACCTAAAAAATCCTAATATAATATTCTCTTAATAACAATCAATATTGGAAACTTAAAGACTTAAATTATATTTAAGTTTATGAATGATGATCAATATCCAATATCCTATTTGATTTCTTTTTTAGTAATTCATTTAGGATAACAATATATAATCTAAATTATATATAATAGATATTTTATTATAAACATGAAATGAATGATTTATTACATAATTATAACAAGAATATTTTAAAGATTTTATTGAGATATTAACCTATAAATATCAATAAAATTATTTATTTAAAAAAGTTTTAAGAATTTAAATATCAATATTTAGATTATTAAATGATAAATTTGATATTAAGATAATCCAATATTCTTTAATTTTGAAAGAATTATATAGGAATATTTAAATGATGTAATATAATCTAACTTTCTATTTATGATTGAGTTAAGCAACCAAATTAGATGGAAAAAGAAAAGAATAGATTAAAGATTTAATCATTTATTTAAGATATATAATTTGATTCAATCTCAAATAACATAAATATGTTATTTAATACTTAAAAAATTATGTTTTATTATACTCATATAAATTAAATAGATGAAATATCAGAATTAATAATTTAAGTTAATTTTTTTTATTGAATTGATTATAATTTATTATTTTTATTACTTTATCAATTTTATTATTTATTTCTTTATACATCTAACTTTAAAATAGCACAATAGTAACTAATTATTAATAGCTTAAAGTAATCCTATTCAATATTTTATTGATGAATCTAAGGAAATGAAATCAACACTTCATTTATCTTTTATAAAGCTAAAGGATCATTTATAATTTATGGATCATCTAATTATTATAATACTTCTAAGAAAGTAATTATTTAAAGTTATGAATTAACTCTTAAATCAAAATTTTTATTAGATTATGATTTCTGTTATGAAAACAATGATGTTATTCCTATCATCTCTTCTGATTGGGGTTCAATCTTACTTTAGGATATTTACATTTTATTATTCTCAAGTTCAAATAAATTTGTTTAAGTACTAAATGGATCAAAGCATAATAAATATTTAAAGAAAGATGTTTAATTTTCTCATATATCTGCTTCGACTAAATTTTATAATTATGTATGTAATTTTAAATAATTATTTTGATTATTATCTGTAATATACCATCCTATTATATCTATTATTAATTAAACCTACAATATCCAAATTTTTTAAAGAGATTCCATTTATCTCCTTTTAAACGTAATTATTATCTTTCCTTAAAAAATTCAATTTCCAAATGAGTTAATTCATCTTAACCTGAATAACTAATCTCAAAGGAATCCAAGATATCAGTCTTATTAATCTTGGAATTGTAAAAACCCAGTAATATACCAGCATGAATAGTTTTATTAGGGAAATTGACTTTGTTAGTCAATATTTATGAGGAAATGCTTAATAGTACTTATGGATGTATATTAGTTTATTACATTAAAATTTATATATTTTAATAATGTTTTCTGATAATTAAATCAGTCTCTTTAAACGAAACTCTAAATTTTAACCTCAATTAGCTTCAATTGAGAATACTAAACCAATTATTGATACAACAAAGTTAATTAAATATTCTGATCCTGTTCATAAGACATTATTTGAATATCAGCAATATAAAAAGAATTATAATTAAATGAAACAATCAAAAATAAAAAAAATACTATCAAAATCAGTAGATAAGACAACCAAATAAATTATTAATAGCAATAGTATGATGTCATCATCTGTTGATTACAAAATGAAATCAAGTGGACGCAATTTAAAATATAATTAAAGCACTCAAAGTGTCATATCTGAAAGTAACATTACAAAAAAAGGAGTTCTCTATGATGGAATCAATACATAAGTTTATCGAATTCTTATTGAAGGACATTTCAATTATTATGCTCTTAAAATAAGCAAAGTCAATATGAATAAATGCACAAAGGAAATATATTATCTTAAATAATTAAGACATCCAAATATTATTGAACTCAAACATCATTATGTAGTTTATGATAAATCTAATGTATTATATATTGAATTATCTAGGATAATAGACCTATGTTATATGAAATTATGCCTTTAATGAGTTGTAATTTAAGATCTTTTCTATAGCAATTTTACAAACATTAGAATGTTTAGGAGAATACTAAAAATATAGATGCTAAATTGATTAATCAAATTAAATAGGAAAAGAAAGCTAAATAAATCTTATTTAAGTTATTTATCTATTAAATTGTGAGGGCAATATCTTATTTACATCATAAGAATATTACTCATAGAGATCTTAATCCTAGAAATGTATTGATTGATGTTGATACACTTAGTGTATAACTCTGTGATTTTAACAGTGCCAAATAATTGTTTTCTTCTATTCCTTCTCCTAATTATATTGGTGAACGTAATTACAGAGCACCTGAATTATTATTAGGATCAAAATTATATAATTAGTAAGTTGATATTTGGAGTTTGGGTTGTATCATAGCAGAATGTTTTTTAGGTAAATAATTATTTAATGGAACCAATACTGTAGAAACTATGGCAGATATTATTAGATTACTTGGAACACCTACACTTTAAGAAATGAAAAATCTAAAATCTTAAATATTAGATCTTAAAATGCCTGAAATTCCTAAATTTCCAATGTCTAAACGTTTTTAAGAAATTGAAAATGATTAATTGGTTGATTTGTTAGAAAAAATCTTTGTTTATGATCCTAATTAAAGAATATCTGCATTTGATATTTTATTACATCCTTTCTTTTAAGAATTAAAATAACCAAATATTAAAATTAATTCGAAATCTTTGCCTAATTTATTTAATTTTACTAAAGGTATTATAATTATTTATTTAAAATAATAGAAGAGTTATCATCAAATGAATATGAAATGAATAAAAATAGATTAATTCCAATATGGTTTACAGAGAAATAAAAAAGATTTGAATATTTAACAACTAGTATGGATGATGCTAAATTATTATTAGATAAATGATGATAATATTATTATATTATATTATATGATATTATCTCATTTAAACACAAAAATATTTTGATCAAACAAACTTATCTTTATCATCATTATTTGTGAATTGTTTAGCAAAATGCTTTATTAGTATAAACATTATCAAACAAATAGATATAATTGTATATTAGTAATTATCAATATTCAATTAATAAATTAAATCGTTCTATTAACAAGATGTCTAAAATTGATTTAATAATTCTTCAATTGCTGTTATATGTTAATCAAATAATAATTAAGCAAATTCAGTATTATTGCTAATAATCCAACTATCTATCCATGTTTAAATTTGATTAATTTATTGAAATTTGTCTTTAATTTATTTAAATTAATCATAATCTCTAATATAAGATATATATGATTGTAAATCATCACATTAACTTTTATTATTAACTAATTTTAAGACTTCATTAGTAAAATTAAACTAATATTAAAATTCTATGAAATCCAAATTTTAAGAAAATTCTTTTATATACTTAACTGGGTTTGTTGAAAATAAAATGTTTTCTGTTAAATGTTTATCAACCTTATGATGTATAATAATGTAAAATTCATCAGTAAAATAATATTTTTTCAATTCATTATATTATTCCTTTAATTCATTATTACTCAATAAGTTTTAATATTGATAATAAACAACTATGGCTTAATTTTTAATATATGTAATTTCTGGATTTAATTTTGTTTTTCCAAATGAAAATCTTGTGTTATTGAAATAATTTGAAAAATTAGAATTCAAAATATTTTTCTTGACATCTTAATCTTGTAAATTTGGGATATAATTATGACTAGTACTTATTAATTATCTATTCAAATAATTTGGCAATCCAATCTGTAAATGATAAATTAATTCTTACACTATTTTATTAATCTAATATTAAAAATGTGTGGGTATATATTTATGCTTTGATTAATGCAAAATACAATATTAATAACATATTTATTAAAATGTTTTTAATAATTTAATACATTTTATATAGTATCATTAAAGATTAATAAATCTGAGTTTCTTATTCTTTATTTTTAAAATGAATGTTTGTTCATCCTTGCAAATAAAATAGATTAATTATTAATTCAACTTTCCTTAAATTGTAACTTCTTATTTATTAATTATTATGTCATTCTTTGAACTAGAAAGAATTTTCATCTTTCCATCAGAAATTAAGATGCAAAAATCACTAATAATATATAATTTCCATTTCTCTGATAGAATCTATTATTTAAATTATTAAAATACTTATTTTTATTCTCTAAGTAGAATTGGAGTACTATAATTATTGAAAACATGATACAATGAAGTATCAATTTATTATTCATTTAATTTAACAATCTATTAAGATGATAATTATTCAATAATCTATTAAATATATTTTGAATTCAAATTATCTCCATTATTAATTGTTTGGATATTTTAAAAGAAACATTTGAAAGCATTTTCTTTATCATATTTATCACTTTCAATATCTAATATTACAAGAGCAAAAGTAAACATATGTAATGATTCTTCTGATTTAAATGGAAAAGTCTAAGGCTTTGAATTATAATAATTGAATTCATAAAATCGTCTACTAAATTCTTTTACTAAAATGTCTAGTATAAATGGATCATTCTAAACTAATAATTTACTAAATAATCTTTATAATGAATCAATAAGATTATCACTCATAACTATTTTATCAATAAATAATTTCAATATTTGTTATTATTCTTATAAATTAATGTTGCATAGTAATCTTATTTTAATATATTTTATTTATACTTTGATATTTATACTTTATTTTTTAATTCAATATCCTAGAACAACCAATTAATAATTGATTGTGGAGTAGGTTTAATCATTTAAGTTGCAATCATAAATGAAATACCAATTATTGAGGAATGATTGAATAAATCTAAAGCTAAGTTTTCAGAATTGTAATCATGCTTTATAACTTTAACTTAATCAAGAAAGGTGACAAGTTCTTTAGATTAATTTTACAAAAGTACTAGCTGATTTAAAGAATACTAAATATATATAATAGTATTTATACCATTTCATCAAAAGACCTAGGAATTGAATTTTAGTGAAATATTAAATTACGACTAATTTTTGAAGACAATTCTTTAAAACAATCCTAAATGTCTTTCTGTTCATTTCCTTCAGAGATAATTGATTTGCTTATAGAATCTTATAATCCTTAATTCTCTTTTTCTTTTGACATTAATTTAGTAGGAGATAAATTAGGACTAATGAGTTTTCCTTATGACACTTTCTCACATAAACTATTACATTCCTGACTTTTTCTAATAATTTAAATAGAGTTTACAATCTTTATTATTTAAGAAACTGAAAATATTCTTCATGCTATCTTTAAGCAGGATCTATTCTCTTAACTTGTCTCTCAATACATGAATTCTATATATCTAAAGACGATTTAAATATTTCAGAGGTCATTTTATCCCTTACTAAATCTTAGGCCAGATTTCCTTCTCGATTTCTTATTTTTGGATCTGCGCCTGCTTTTAGTAAGACTGAACAAACCTAAGCTCTTTAGTAAAAAGCTGCTACATGTAATGCTTAAATTTAGACAATAATCTATACGAGTCCATCCTGCCATATCTGTAATATCTATATTAGCATTATTATTAATTAGTTCTTAAACTACTTAAATTGATCCATATCTTGATGCTATATGTCTATGCAAATACTTATAAATTCAATTATTACAATGGAGATGTTCTATCTTCATCCAAAATGTTAATGTTTATTCCATTATTTAAGTAAAATCTGATTAACCCTAAATTACGTCCTGATGCTGCCTTGAAAAAGTTCTTCTCATTTTCTGTTAAATAGGCAGTAGACTATTATGTGATTCGACCTTTAAAAATTTTTAGTTACATACCTCTTGCTTTATCTACTTCAAGTCCAATTTGTAATTCATTTGGATCAAAAGTTTCATGATCTTAAGCCATACATCCTAGACAATTAGCAGGATTTCTTCTTTTATGTTAAATTGTATTTCCCATTAGAGTAATTTATTAATTTATATAGCTATATATATAAAAAATCATTTAGGAAGTAAAGGGAAAAAATCCTACTCAGGCTAACATTTTCAATATTAGATATTATGTTTTTTGAGTTGTTTTTATTAATTTTCTATTATTTTTTTAAGGTTAACAATTTCTTACTTTAATTGTTATTCTGTTATTTATTACTTTTTTTAAGTGATTTCATATGAATTGATGATATCTTTAGTTTTGATTAATAATTTCTTTAATTAAGATTATAATTTTTGATTAACTGAGCATTCATCTTCTTAAAAAGGATTTACAGATTTTGGTAATATTTTTTCTATTATTTTATTACTACTGTTAGATTTTTAATTTTGTTTAGATAATCTCTAATTATAACTAGTACTGTTTGTTAAACTGATTGTTGTTGATTAACTTGATATTTTATGAGCATGATTAGCTTTTAATTCAATTTATGTTGATTCAGTTTTGCATCTACTCTCATTTGTACCTTCACCTTTTTGTAAACTTCTAGATTGATTTTGAAAAAATTCATTGAAACTATTTAGATTACCATAATTAATCATTGTTGGTTAACTATTTTATGCACGATGTGTTGCCATTTTTATTTTTGGTGTTCTAACCTGTACTATTAACATTAATAAATATATAGAAATTAAAATATTTAACACTTTAACTAATAAATGCAATATTAAGTGTTTAAAGATTATCAAAATGTATATATTTAAAGTAAATTGTAAAAAAGAATTTAGAATTTATGTATTAAATGCATTTTTAATGTTTTGCTGTGATTTATATTTCATAAATTAAAGATATAAATTTTTTTCAAATTCATTCATGGGAAGAGTTAGAAATAAGACAGTTAAGAAAGCAGCTAAAGTTCTTATTGAAAAATACTACATGAAACTCACTTCAGATTTTCATTTCAATAAAAAGATCCTATCAGAAGTTGGATAAGTACCATCAAAAAAATTGAGAAATAAAATTGCTGGATTTGCAACACATCTTTTGAAGAGAATCTAAACAGGATCAGTTAAGGGTATCTCACTCAAAGTAATGGTCACATTTCAAACAATAGATTTAAGAAGAAGAAAGAGAGAGAAGATTGGATTATGTCCCTGAAAAATCATCTATTGATATTGACAATCTTAGAGGAGATCAAGATGTTAAAAGAATGCTTGAAAAAGCTGGTTTGGAAATTGACATTCCCATTGATGAACCTGTTGTTGAAGAAAAATAATAAAAATAACCAAGAAGAGGATAAAGAAGATAATAATGATTGTGAAAGTACATTTATTAAAGTAAAAAGCATAAAAAAATACATCTAATATTTAATATTCATAATGCAGATTTTCTTTTTATTTCATTCTCCGTTTATAATCTTAATTAATTTAGTATGAAAACTTTTTAATCGTTAACATAATTTGTATTTTCATCATCAAAAGTATTCAATCTCTTTGATTTTTGTCTTTATGTTCCCTATTATTATAAATCTTCTTGTAATTTTATATTCAAATTTGTACCACCAGTGCTCTCTGCAAAATTGTTTTCATTTTGATTATAATAAAAATTCTTTAGAAAGATTTCTTTTGGAAAATTTTCTAATAAATTTAATTGTAATGGTTTAATTTGCAAAAGAAATTCACTTTCTCCTTTTCCAAATTCTTCTTCATCAAAATTGAATTAAAAGTAATCTGGTTTAAATGGAGGATCAATCTTCTTCATTAAAAAATCTTTATATAAATTCTTTTCACTCCATTAAGTCATCCATGGATGTTTTAAAAGAGAATCAATATTATCTATTCTTTTTTTTGGAGTTTTTGCTAATAAATTATTCAATAAATCTTTTAAGAGTTATGACATTTATAATTAAGGTGGAAAACTCAATTTTTAATTAAGTATTTTCTAATATATTTCATCTGTATTTCTTGAATAAAAAGGTGGTAAACCAGTTGTTAATTCATATAACAAAGCTCCTAAACAATAAAGATCCAATTAGAATGTATGACCTTATTTTAATAACATTTCAGGAGCCATGTATTCAGGAGATCCACAAAATGAATAAGCAACCTCTTAATTTTCCATATGAGGTTTTGATAAACCAAAATCAGCTATTCTAACATGCCCATCAAAATCAATTAGAATATTTTCTGGTTTGATATCTCTATAAATAATATTATTATCATGTAAATTTTTCATTCCCAAACAAATCTCTGCAAAATAAAAAAAGGCTTCTTCTTCACTCATTCTTTTTACCTATCTTTAATATAATATTAATACTTTTCTTAAGAGATAAAATAATTCTCCTCCTGAACAATATTCTAATACAAAAACTAAGTATTTTCTAGATTCAAATGCATATTGCATTTTAACAATAAAAGGATGATTTAAATTAAACATAATATCTCTCTCATTTTGTATAATGTTTTATTTATTTTATTACATAATAGGCTTTTTCTCAATCAATTTCATTGCATAAAATTAGCCAGTCTTTTTTTCTCTTACCAAATAGACTTTAGAGAATCCTCCAACTCCTATACATCTTATAAATTCAAAATCTTTCAAACTTACTCGAGATTATTTAAGTTCCTATTCAATATTAATTACAGGTTCAATAATTAATGGCTACATTGGACAATTTGATAATAAAGACAAAGGTCTTTCAATTTTAGACAGAATATAATCAACAGGAATAGATATATTGGCTGTTTTAATTCCAATTATTGGTTAACATGAATTTCCAAAATGATTCATTATTTCTTATTTAATTGTATCTAAAAGCCAAGATATTTTATTTGTTGAGATATCAATAGTTATTTTTTATTTAAATGATTTATACTAAATAATTATAGCCATTAAATCTTATTAACATTTTCTATGTTAATTAAAATATTATTACCTAGTAGTCGTTGGTTTTTTTTTATCTGGAGTAAATTCAATAAGAGGTTAAGAACTAGCATGAGTTTAAAATTTTTATGTTTCTATGAATTATGCACTATTAGATTTCTAATGCATTTTTAATTAGCCTTCTAAAGGTCCTAAGGTAGGAATTTGTTATGATTAATTTTTGGCACTTTAAATTGCTAAGGTCTTTTAGATATTCAATCTAGATAATAAATCTAATGATTATTTCTATTTGATTTCCTATATTGCTTATTATGCCTTTTATTTCAAATTTTGATCTGCTTTAGTGGATGCAGAAAAAGGTAATGTTTTCAAAATGTCTTATTATAATAATTGTTTAGGAGCTTTGAGTAATAAAATATATCTAAGTACATGTAATTGTATATTCATCCAATACATTTTCTATTGATTTGATTTTTGTTTATGAATTTTGATGAGAATGTGGTTGTGTTTTCATGTGATTTCCATTACTTTTCACCTATGTTTTTTAATTAATCCTTTCTTAACTTATTATTTTAGGTGACATGAACCCTCTAGATTTAAGCACATTTTATTGTTATATTTTTCTTAAGTTTTGCCTATATTATGTATTTAATTACTACTATTATGATATTTTTAAGTTTGGTTAAGAATTATTAGATTTCAGCAAAGGACTTTATTGTGGACCAATTGATTTCTTATTTGTGTACACAAATTTATACTTTTTACTCCAATTAAAATGTTGGAGAATTAGACTTTCGAGCATTAAGTGCTTCTCTAGTTGATAAATAATTCATTAATGCTTGACTTGACAACTCTGTTGATTATGTTTTTTAATGTTGCTTCTTTTGGAGCATTACTTTTTAGTTAGTTATTATTAAATAATAATAAATGGTAAATATATTGTAAATCATTCATTAGTAAATAATAAAATTATTTTTGTAATTGCAATGAAATACAATTAAATCAAAAATTAATTAGATTTCAATCTAAAATTTCAATTAATTTAGATGGAGATCCCTTAAATAAAAGTTTTATTCTACTTTTAATTATTTCTAATTTAAATCTAATGATCATAAAACTAATCATAATTACATATAATTCAACCTTAGCTAACAGTATATTATAATTAAAATGTAATTATATTAGATATAATTATTATATGGTATCTATTCAACTAATTAATTAATAATTGATTTTTATTATTTATTATAAATCTTAATCTTTGAGAAGAATTATAATATTTATTAATTATAATTTATTCAGATGTAAAAATGATAAAAGAATTAATATTATTAAAGATTAAATACTTCTTGGATTTCAAATTAATATTAAATATAATTATAATACTTCATTTTTACATTAAATAATAATTAATTTCAATCATTATATTATCATCATTATTATAGTTAAGTTGATATACATTAGAAAAATAGTTTGAGTGTTAATTTTTTTGTGATGTCTTAAATATTTGATAATAAAAAAATTTAATAATTAAATTTTTAACAGAAACATCTAATAAATGTCGATATAGATAGCTAATTTACCAGAGTTTAGTTATAAATCAATTCCAAAGAGATCATTAGATCTCGAGAACTTCTTTAAGGAATTTGAAATGAAGTAATTCTTAGAAGAATGTAATTACTCACAATAAGAATTATATGTTGAATGCCGAAAAATGAGATAATTTCAACAGAAACGAAAATTGAAACTAAACAAATATATAAATAGCTATCTAGAAGCACCATCAATAATTAGTCCTGTATAATTATTGCTTTGAATTCAGTATATATATGTTTCAATCAAATTCATAAACAGTTAAGCATAATATTATAATTGTCATTAAAATTATATAAGAATCATTCTTAACTGATATATTATTTCTATAAAGAATCTAAAACTAGTTCTAATTAATCATTTAAAGTTTCTTTTGACATCTCTCCTAATCAGAAATATAAATATAATCAAACACTATCTAAAATGGTTTTTAATTTAGAAATATCCCATTAAATCCTTTATTTATAGCTTTATAGATATCTTAAAGCCTGAAAGTACTATAATTCTATTTAATAGTTCCATCTTTATAGATATTTAATAATTCACTCAAATATTTTAGTGGTACAAATATTTCTAAATATAATTTAGGGTGCCTTTGTTTATTATTATTCATAGATGTTATATATCTCATTAAATCAATTATATAAATTAAAATATTATAAAATTATGATAACATTTGAAAACAACATCATGAGATTATTCAAACTGAAAGTTGAAGCTTAAGAATTAATTGATATAAAAGCTCAATGTTTTAATTTCATATTATTTTAGAAAAGTATAATCAATTAGATGCCATTTCTTAATCACAAATTAATTAATATAGATAAGAAATCGATGCTTTGAAATAGTAATCTGTCGAATTGTAAGATCATTATGAAAAACAATCTCTGATATTTTAATAAAAGATTAACTCTTTGTCAGAAGAAATTAAAATTTTGAATTATGAAAATGATAAAACAGAGAATAATTATTAAAATGAAATGTAATCACCTTTATTATATTAAAGATAAGAACTTAATAGTGTTATCTAATAATTATAAGAAGGAATCTAAAGTCAATAATCAAAATTCTAAAAAGAAATTGATAACCTCAAATTAATGCACAACTAAGAACTTTATATTCTCAAGAAAAGAAAATGAAAAATATTTTATACTATATAAATATTATTTAATTTAAATAAGATATTCAATGGTATTTAATCTATAATAATCTCTAGCCTAAAGCAGCTAAAACCAGCAAAGCTAAGAAAATATAGAAAAAAGTAGCTGATAGAAAAAAGAATCCACTCTTTGTTAAAGAAGCTAAGAACTTTAGAATTGGAAATGATGTTTAACCAAAAAGAGATTTATCTAGATATGTAAGATGGCCAAGATATATCTTACTTCATAGATAAAAAAAGATATTATTACAAAGAATCAAAGTACCAGCTGCTATTAATTAATTCAGCAAAACTCTTGATAAAAATTAATGTAAATATTATTTCTATATATATTCAAGCATCTAAAGTATTGACTCTATTAAAGAAATATTCACCAGAAACAAAAACTGAAAAGAAATAAAGATTAACTAAATTAGCTGAATAAAAAGCATAAGCTTAAAAACCAGAATCAAAGAAAGTATAAGTACTTAAATTTGGATTAAACCATGTGACTACATTGGTTGAGACTAAAAAAGCTAAGCTTGTTGTAATTGCTTATGATGTTGACCCTATTGAACTTGTTGTTTGGTTACCACAATTATGCAGAAGACAAGAAGTTCCATTCTGTTTTATCAAAAGTTATATATATTTATTTATTATTAGATAAAGCAAGATTGGGAACTTTGGTTCATTAAAAAACAGCCACTTGCGTAGCTTTGACTGAAGTTAGAAAAGAAGATTAAGCTGAATTCGATAATTTAGTAATATTATATAATATCACAAGGCAAGAGATTTAAGATAACATTATAATGAAAACCATGAATTATTGAGAACTATTGGAGGAGGATAAGTTGGAATTAAATCAAGACATCAATAAGAAGCATTAAAGAAGGCATTAGAATTAGAAGAATTAAAAAAGACATCTTAATGAACATGTTTACATTAATAAAATAGTATATTAAAAAATTAATCATTTATAATGTATTAGAAAAAATAATTGCTATATATATTTATAATTTTATAATTAAAATTACAATTTAATTGTAGTTGAATAAGTAACAATAGAAACGATTGAAAAGAGATACAAATTCAGTATAAAATTATTATGATGCTTGGAATAAAGTTGATGAGGATATATTGTTCGAGGAACCTGAAGAACCAATAGAAATGGATATTTAAAAAAAAAACCTTAAAAAACATAAATTAATAATAAATAGTAGTTAAAGGTAGTAGAAATATAGTTAAGTCACAAGTAATTTTAAATAAAGAATAAGATTATGAATTATTAAAATTGCAAGAGTTTTAAAGTGAATTAAATTAGAAATAGTCTTTATATGAAAAATAAAAAGAATTACTCATAATAATTTATTCTAGTCGAGCCTACAAGAATAAGGTAAATAGAATGAAGCATTAAAAGATAGAATTGATCATTAAGTATTTGAATTGGAATAAAATTAATCATTCTACTTAAAAAATATTGAACTTTTAATATATATAAGATATACTTGATGGATAATATAAATTTAGTTGAGTTTTGTAAAAAAGCACGATTATTAATTATATTTGATATAAACAAAATTATTTGAATTAGTTAAAGAATGATAATAAATTATTATAATACATTCATTTTTATATATTTATTTATTAATGAATGCAGATAAATTGAAAAATTTAAAGAATTTCTTTGATTCTGAATATTTTACTCCTGAAATGCTATTACAAAATATTTCAAAATACAGAGAATAGCCTGATATCCTGAATTTATTATACACTATTATGTTAAATCTAGAAGATAAAATAATTTCATTCTATTCTCCATAATTTTGTTAATTGTTAATCAAAACAGAAATTCCATAACTATTTGATTTTTTTAAGAAAAAATGCAGTTAATCAAGACCTTTATTTTTTAATGTATGAATTTTAATAAGAATAAGTTATATTGGTTACTTGGTGCATATTTATAATTAGAAAAACAGAAAAAAAAGAAAGAAAAAATAGATTTGTTTTTAAGGGTATTAATTTTTTACTTAATTAAAAAGCAAATGGAAATGTCTATGGTGAATGGAGAGTTTAATGAAAAAACATTTGAAATTTAAGATTAAGAATAATTGAATCAAATTTTATTGAAAGATTTTTAATAAAAAGATCTAAGATAAGAATATTTTACAGAAATGTAGAAATTTATGGGAACTCTTATTAAGCATTCATTAGTATTGAAGGAATTTCCAAAGGATGATAGAAAACTTCATTTAAAATTATTGATATAAAAGCAAAACTAAAATTTATAAAAAATAGTGAAAAAATTCTAATTTGGAGTAGTATTACCATTTTATGATGAATAAGAAAAAGATAATAAATCATAATACATTGTAAATATATTAGAAAAACATTAAGTGTGTTTTCACACAAAGAAAAGAGTACCTTATTTGATATTAGTTGAAACTATTAAGTAATTTATTTATTTATAACAGTTAGTCCTTTAGATTTAGAATAGTATCAAGCTATTCCAGCTTAATCTTAACCAAACATTGAGGTAGCAGGATATGTGGAAGCATAATTAAATGATTAAGGATTTGAGAAACAATTGGCATAGATTGAATAGGAAGAACAGAAACTTTATCATGAAGCATTAGAAAAGATAATGTAAATGGAAAAGAAGGGGAAAAGATAAAGTTAGATTATGCAAACTATAGATTAATATATGCAGAAACAAGTATTTAGTAATTAAATAAAGAAAAAATAAAACAATAAGGACGTTATTTAAAGTGAAACCTCGAAATTGGATAATGTGTAAAAAAGAAAAGCATCTTTAATTATAGATTCAAATCTATCATAAACTCAAAATAATAAGAAATCATATTCACAAGAAAAAAATGATTAAAAATCAGAAGAATGTTATAAAACATTACAAAAATTATTACCAATTGAGAAATTGCGTATTTTGAAAAAATTTAAAAAAAAAAAACTATAAGTTTGGGAACAAGTATAAAATCTTTATGTAAATAGAGTTGGGAAGAAAGAATTGAGAGTTATAAAAAAGATTCTAGATATTCTCATTTCCCTTCATACAAAATACGACCAATTATTATAAAGGGAGGAGATGATTTAAGATAAGAAATGTTTGCAATTCAAATTATGAAATAATTTAATAAAATATTCAAGGAAGCTGAAGTTAATTTATATTTAAGACCCTACTAAATAATTGTCACTTCAGCCAACTCAGGTATTGTAGGTAATTCTTATAAATATGATCTAGAATACATTCCAAATACTATATCAATTGATGCTCTTAAAAAGTTGTTTGGTAATGGTACTAAGACATTGTATTAAATTTATTAAGAAATTTTTGGAAGTGCTTTTGAGGAAGCTTAGAAAAACTTTATTGAAAGTTTAGCTAGTTATTCTGTATTTTCATATTTGATGTAGGTTAATTTTTAAATAATAAAATTATTAGGTAAAAGATAGACATAATGGAAATTTGTTAATTGATGATAGAGGTCATGTGATTCATATTGATTTTGGATTTCTATTACAAACATCACCTGGTGGTGTAAATTTTGAATCAGCACCATTTAAATTAACATAAGAATATCTAGAGTTGATGATGGGAAAAGAGAGCGATTACTTTGGTTATTTCAAATCATTAATGACAAAAGGATTTTTAGCTTTGAAGAAATATGTAATAGAGATAGAGAACTTTTTTAAAATAATGGTAGAAAAATCTGATTTGCCTTGTTTTGCAAATTTAGACTTAAAATTATTTACAAGTAGATTCTAATTGAATGCTACTGACAAAGAAGTAATTTAATATTTGTAACATTTAGATTATGGATTTAGTAGATAGATTGATCAATTAGAGTCTATCAAGTTGGAGAACAGCTCAGTATGACAATTTTTAAAAAAGAACTAATGGGATATTGCCATGAAACAGTTAATAATAATTTTATTGTTTATTATTAATATTATAAGCAAATGATCAATAACAACCAACTGTTTTACGAATGTTTAAGAGGACCAACCTCTTAGAGAAGAAATTCAACACCAAACAAATAAAGGAGTAGAATCATTAGAGCCTCTATGTAGATCGAATTAAATTAAACATAAAATCAAGATAATAGTCTTGCTGATTCAGCCATTAGAAGTGTCTCAAGACAAAGAAATTCAATACAAATTGATTAAATTGAAGGAACTATTAAACAAATTACTTAACCAAAAAAGTAAGGCTTGATGAAAAAAAGTTCTAATATTCAGAATCGATATTTTTAGATAAATGATAACTATAAACAATTAATTTTAATGGATCATACAAAAGATCAATCAGATGTGATTTTGAAGTATTTACCAGAAGCTCAAATATTTCTTAATAAAGCAAATTAATAGATATTATAAAATTGGATTCCTACATTACCATAAGATGAACGCAAATAAATTGAGAAGAATAAAAAGTATTTTCCAATCCCAAGAAATATACCATTCCATGAAATTATTGATGGATTGAAAATATTATATGGGCAAGGAAAAAATAGAAGATTATGGCCTGGAGAAGAAGCTTTATTAATGGAAACCATACGATTATATATTGATAAGATTTTATCGAATCCAAAATTACTATTACATAGTGTGGCTTTTACATTATAATAAATAATTAAATTAGCTGGACTTGAAGAAATTTTAAACTATAAATTATGCATGTAATAGTTGGAATGCCATTGGAAAATGATGATTACTAGATTTAGATATAGCGGATTATCAGAATTGAGTAAGAAATCTTGGCAATATTGGTTAGAATAAGCACAATTAAGAGGTCATTTTCTTAATTTACAAAATGATAATTTATTAACATAATACTTATTAAAACATTAATAAATTGACTGATAATGATGATTTATATAGATGTATATTTATTATTTCACTAAAGGTGCACTGTTTCCGCATAATTTATTAAAAATTTTAAGTGTGTACTTGAGGATCCTGCATGAAAAACAGAACATTTTTCTAAGATCTTAATTTTTATTTGTACATAAACATTTTGATTCTATCTCATTTATGTCTCTATTCAATTGTAATGCTCCACATCTCTTTGCACAATCTTTTGTTGCTCTTACCATTGCATATAAAGCTTAAGCACCAACTCCCCAATCTATTTCTTATTCCTCTGACATTTAATTTATATTTTATTCAATATTATTACTTATTCTCTAACATATATAGTGTAATTTACTTGAAACTAGAACCTCTTATAACATTTTAAATAATACACAACTGCTAAATAAAATATAAGTTTATTTTATTAAATGAAAGGCTACTGTTTTTAACCAAGCTCCAGGGAAATTATAGAAAATCTCCAAACAAATAACTAGAGTCCTCATATTGAGTTGGTCTCTACAACCCATAGATTGATGGCTATGTCAACATATTAAAGACCAAAGAAAATAAGGAGAAACACAACTATTTCCATCTTTACGTAATTTTATATAAATAAACAGATAATAAAATGAAAGTGAATCTCCTAAAAAATCTCAAAGATGGCTATTTATGTTGAGGAAATATATTACTATTGTAAGAATATCAATAAGTTTTATTAATTCTTTAAAAGAATATTAAAATAAATAGAAAATAGAAAGACTAGATTCAAAACAATGGAAAAAGGAATCCTTACTACCATTTTATCCTGATGATTTTTTCATTAAAAAATGGAGAATATTCATTGAAATTTTAACATTTTCAAGTGTCATTTTGTATCCCATTTATATCAATTTCGAAGTTAATAAAGTAATTGAAACTGTAGTTATAGTATTTGACTTATTCTTTTTGATTGACATTTTTATTAACTTTCTAACTGGATATATTGATGAATGCAATAATTTAATAATTGATTTTAACTCCATTTTTAAACATTACTTTAAAACTTGGCTCTTTTTTGATGTTTTGTCTGTAATCCCAGCAATTAATTATGAAAAAGAATGGTTTAAAAAATTCAAAATGATTAGAGTACTAAAATATTTTTTAAATAACAAAGAAGTTACCTATAAAGGACAAGAGAATTATGTTAAACTTATTGAGTCATTAAATCCTGAACAAGAATTTACATTAAAAAGCGGAACTAAATATCTTTTAAATGTAATTATAACATCATGTTTATTAATACATATTTTTGGGTGTTGGTAGCATTACTTCGATTCAGGAGATTATATAACAAATATCTATTGGTCATCCTAAACTATTACTACTGTTGGTTATGGTGATATCAATGCTAAATATGAATTTGCTGTTCTTTGGATGGTCATAGGAGTAGCATTCTATTCTTTCACTATTGGTGATTTTGCTTTAATGATGCAAAAATCAAAAGTAAATGCAGAACAGGATCTTTTATTTTTGATAGAATAATTAGGTCATGCTTAAAATTTCTCTGAAAAATTGAAACATAAATTCTAGTTTTTTGTTAAAAGCAATCTATATCATAATTAATTTTGGTTAGAAGAATATAAGTCTATGGCAAAAGAGCTACCTCATAACTTAAAATTATATTTAACGCTAAGTACAATGCTTGATATTTGTAAATAAATTCCATTGTTTTTATATGATATCAATTATACATCTTTATTGTTATTAAATATTAGATATTTGATTGTTGAAGAAGGATTCATTTTGTACAGAGAAGGTCAAAGTTCAAGTGAAATATTCTTTTTGTTATAAGGAGACATTCGAATTATGACAAAAGACAAAACAATTCTATTAAATATTTTAGAAGGAACAATTTTTGGAGAGTTTGAAGCTATTGAAGAGAAATTAAGAGGAACGTATTGTGTTGCATAAAGAAAATCTATTTGTTTAGTCATTCCATATAGAATATTAAGAAGAGTTATGTCCTAAAGTTAAATATTGGATTTCGAAATCAGACAACTACATTTAAGAAGAAGAAGATTAATAATCAATAATTTTATAGAAGAAAGAAGTAAATTTTTTAATTTAAATAAGGAAGAAAGCATGCCTATAAAAGGTAATAAGTGAGATTTTATACGTAGTCATTTTTACAAATGACTAAAGAAGAATATGTTTTGAATAAAAAGATAATCCAAATATTGAGTGTAGAAGAATATAATAAGTCATTATTAAGTAAGATTANCAAGTGTCATTTTGTATCCCATTTATATCAATTTCGAAGTTAATAAAGTAATTGAAACTGTAGTTATAGTATTTGACTTATTCTTTTTGATTGACATTTTTATTAACTTTCTAACTGGATATATTGATGAATGCAATAATTTAATAATTGATTTTAACTCCATTTTTAAACATTACTTTAAAACTTGGCTCTTTTTTGATGTTTTGTCTGTAATCCCAGCAATTAATTATGAAAAAGAATGGTTTAAAAAATTCAAAATGATTAGAGTACTAAAATATTTTTTAAATAACAAAGAAGTTACCTATAAAGGACAAGAGAATTATGTTAAACTTATTGAGTCATTAAATCCTGAACAAGAATTTACATTAAAAAGCGGAACTAAATATCTTTTAAATGTAATTATAACATCATGTTTATTAATACATATTTTTGGGTGTTGGTAGCATTACTTCGATTCAGGAGATTATATAACAAATATCTATTGGTCATCCTAAACTATTACTACTGTTGGTTATGGTGATATCAATGCTAAATATGAATTTGCTGTTCTTTGGATGGTCATAGGAGTAGCATTCTATTCTTTCACTATTGGTGATTTTGCTTTAATGATGCAAAAATCAAAAGTAAATGCAGAACAGGATCTTTTATTTTTGATAGAATAATTAGGTCATGCTTAAAATTTCTCTGAAAAATTGAAACATAAATTCTAGTTTTTTGTTAAAAGCAATCTATATCATAATTAATTTTGGTTAGAAGAATATAAGTCTATGGCAAAAGAGCTACCTCATAACTTAAAATTATATTTAACGCTAAGTACAATGCTTGATATTTGTAAATAAATTCCATTGTTTTTATATGATATCAATTATACATCTTTATTGTTATTAAATATTAGATATTTGATTGTTGAAGAAGGATTCATTTTGTACAGAGAAGGTCAAAGTTCAAGTGAAATATTCTTTTTGTTATAAGGAGACATTCGAATTATGACAAAAGACAAAACAATTCTATTAAATATTTTAGAAGGAACAATTTTTGGAGAGTTTGAAGCTATTGAAGAGAAATTAAGAGGAACGTATTGTGTTGCATAAAGAAAATCTATTTGTTTAGTCATTCCATATAGAATATTAAGAAGAGTTATGTCCTAAAGTTAAATATTGGATTTCGAAATCAGACAACTACATTTAAGAAGAAGAAGATTAATAATCAATAATTTTATAGAAGAAAGAAGTAAATTTTTTAATTTAAATAAGGAAGAAAGCATGCCTATAAAAGGTAATAAGTGAGATTTTATACGTAGTCATTTTTACAAATGACTAAAGAAGAATATGTTTTGAATAAAAAGATAATCCAAATATTGAGTGTAGAAGAATATAATAAGTCATTATTAAGTAAGATTATAGGTAAAAAGCTACAAAGACTTTCTTAATTTTTGGTCAAATTCAAAAGATCTGTTTAAAGAGTAATTGAAATGAATCATCAATTAGATGAAACTATACCAGAATAATGGAGAGAATTGAGTAATTACCAATTAATAAAGAGAGTCTTTCCTAAAGATTATTTGTCATAGAAATTTTAATAGATTTCCTTATCAAGAAAATCTTCATCGGTTCATTCTTCAGTTAGCAAACTAAGCAAAATGAAATATTCAACTTATAGTTAACAATATTTTTTTCAAAAGCTCCCTGAGATTAGATTAAAACATATAGTTTTACAACATATTAGATTAACTAAAAATAAATTTGTCCCGCTTTAATAAATAATAAACAAGTACTCAGAAGATCCTGAATAACTTAATTTAAAGAAAAAGGAAAGTGTTGAAAGGTCAGTATGGACCAAAAAGTTTACAAAGATATCTCAAACAGTTATTCTACGAATCGATCAAATCTAAGACAGTGGTGATAAATATAATGAAATAATGCAGTCAATGAAAAAGATTGAAAAATTGTGGCTAAAAGGATCTATGTACAAGTTTGAATGGTTCTAAGATTAACATTCATAATCGAAATAATTTTTAATTTGAAATTCTTACTCATAGAATGAGTAATTGTAAAAATTTATATTTGAAAATTAATCCAGATTAAATTATTATCAAAATACTCTAATATTTCTTTATTTTTTATATATTAATGTACTTTAAAAACAATCATCTTGCACCTTTTCCTCTTCTTGCAGTGTGACTAACATATGGTTTAGCATGAGATCCTGGTAAACCAGCAGCTCTGCCAAAATGCTTTAATTCTTCTCTCACTCTTGGTCCCCTCAATAATATTGTTCCTGTGCCTTTGAAATTATTAATATATAATCGTACCTGTTGGATTTTATTATGCTAATTGATCGAAGGTCAATGTTTTTCCACCAGCTGCAAGAATTCTCTTTCTAGCTGTCTCAGTGAATCTAAGAGCACAAACATTAATCTTAGGAACAGTGAGTAAACGTACACTAAATGCATGATATATTTTCTTACTCATCTGTAACAGTACCAACAACAACCAATGTTCTTGTCTTATCCTTAGCAGTATTAATTTATTTCACAAGTCTGCTTACACTAATTGGATATCTGGCAGTTCTAGTTTATTAAAGTCTTCTTAAAATTGTAGCATTGAAATTTGAATCTGTTCTTCTAGCTAAGAATTTATATAACTATGGTTAATTCAATAATTTTTACCTTGATTAATAATTTCAAATAGAGGTTTGTTGATGTTACTTTTCTTCCAACATTTCTTTATACTCTTGTCTTCTTATATGCGTCAACTCCCTACCATGATTAATTGTGATATTCATTACCATTTAAAAATAAATATATCTTTATTTAATTTATGTTATATAAATTAAATTTGTAATTATTCATCAATTCACTTCCATATAGTTAATTAACTTCCCTTCTCTCCATTCCCCTTTCTTATAACTGCCATCTTATTCATAAATTATGCCCTCTCCATGCTATTTTCCATCAAACCATTAACCTTCATATTTTCTTCCATCATTATATAAAAAAACCCCAAATCCATTTTTTTTATCATTTTCATAATTTCCACAATACTTCTTACCATCCGGCCATTAATACTCCCCCTATCCTTGCATATTATTATCAAGCCACTCTCCCTTATAAATGCAACCATTATTCCATTTATAAATACCAAACCCATTCATCTTATTGTTAAACCAATCCCCATCATAAGAACTTCCATCTGCCCAAATGTATTTCCCTTTTCCATTTTTCTCTCCATTTACATAATATCCAATATAATAACTTCCATCTGGCCAAAATTCCTTCCCAAAACCTTCAAATTTATCATCCTTCCAATTTCCTTCATATCTGTGTCCATTAGAATATTGATATATGCCATATCCAGAACATAAATTATTTAGAAACTATCCTTCATCTAATTGTTAATATATAATATTATCACATACAATAATCTCCATCTATATGCAAGAATCTTCCTTATCCGTTCGCTTTATTATTTTTCCAATACCCTTCATATTTTGTTCCATCTATGGTTCTATGATACTTCATTACCCTTCCATTCCATTACTCCATATCCATCTCTTTTATTCCCTACCCACTCTCCTATATATTTACTTCCGTCGTCAAAATCAAAAGTAAATCTCTTTTCTCTTTCTTTTCTTTTTTTAAGTTCCTCAGCTCTTAAGATTCATTCAAATTCTTACGTATTAAATAGAGCATATTGGGCTTCACTTTTTGTAAAGTAACGATAAGATATTGGTTCTGTTACTTATCTACTCTCTAAAGTTATTTCATTTTCAACATTACTGCAATCGCTACAATGTTATCCCATAAAAATAATATTATTTGTTATTTAATTTAAAATAAGAATTATAATTTCTATTTCTAGTCACCATGGCATTTTTATAAATTATTGCAAAAAAAAAAGTAGAAAAATTAAACACAATTTTACTTTTTATA